GGAGATCCGGAGAGATCTGGAGAGACATGGGGAGGCCTGGGGAGGTCTGTCACCCGTGCGGCTTAGTGAGGAGCTTGTAGGGGTCCTTCGGGTCCGCCGCGAGGCGCGCGTCGTTGTCCGCGAGGCAGGCGACCTTCTCCTGCCGGACTATGGTGACCTGCCCCGCCCTCATGCCGAAGTTTGCGTTTGCGTCCAGCAGCGCGCGGGTCTGCGCGTCGGTGTCCCCCTGCAGTGCCGGCGGGCGGCGGCGCGTGGGTGCGAGGGCGCGGACGGGAGGCGGCGCCCGGCGGCGAGAGTGGGCGGCGCGGCGCCGCGCAGCGCGGCAGGCGCCCCTCACCGAGGTCATGATTGCGAGCGGCAGCGGCGCGCCGCTCCCTTGCAGCGCGAGGATGTGGCGGATGTAGAGCTCGAGGTAGGTGGTGCCGGTGGTCAGCTGCGTCGGGAGCTGCACCTTGATCCCCGAGTAGCCCAGCCGCTCGCCCAGCCCGCCCGCGACCAGCACAAAGCCGCACCCGCCGCCGCTGACAGCCGCCATGCCGGCCGCCTCAACCTCGTCAAACTCGGGCGTGCCGTACGCGACGGTCTCGCCCACCGGCACGCTCGGCGTCCAGCCCTCGAGCGGGTTGACTCCAGCCTTGGAGTCGGCGAGCAGCTTGCGGCCGTTATCGACGTACGCCTTGAGGCCGCCCGGGTACGAGGCGTCGAGGTCCTCGATCTGCTTGTAGAAGCGCGACTCGTCGGCCGCCGATGGCTTGGAGCCCCAGCCGTCGAAAAGGTGCGTTTGGCCCAGCTCTTGAAGGAGCGCCTTCTTGGCCTTGGACATCGCGGATCTCTGTGGCGTCCTGCCCGGCGGCAGCGTCAGCAAGTGCAAAGAAGAAAAACGATTCTCGTTCTTCACCTTCCTACATACACACAGGAATAACTAGCCTTGCCACGACCTCGAGCCGCCGAGTGCGTATCATATCCGAGAGAGCCCCCCTGTGCCCTGTGCGGCCCTGTGCCCAGCACTCTCCGCGCCATATGTGTCTTCCGCTCCTCCCTCTCCTCTCCCCAGCCCCTAGGCCCTAGCTTGGGATGTCCGTCTACTTTCTTTTCGGTACCATCACACCCTCACACCCGCAGATGAGGGCTCGGCTCCACGCGCGCGGGCGTTGCGGCGGCACGGCTTGCCGGTGACGCAGTCGACGCCACAGCGTCATGATCTGGACGGTGGCTTTGGACAACGCGTCGCGACCCACGGCTCACCGTCACGAAATCAAGACGTAGCAGTAGCAGGCCCAAGACTGATCCGGCCAGCAGGCTCAGGGCTGCTCCGCTGGCGAATGCGACGGCGAGCTGCCATCCTCTATCCCCCCACCACGAGGAGCCTTGCACATCACGCGAGTCGCACTCAGCGCGGGCGGCCGAGGAGTTGAACGAGTAATCGACGACAGGTGCAGGTCGCGACGACGCTGGTGTGGTTGGTGCCGGCGAGCCTGTTGGTGGCACGCTGCACCACGGCGAGCCAATCAGCGAGTCTCCGGCGGGCAGGTTGTGAGGCGGTGGCACCAGTGCGGGCGACTCGCACATTCTCGGGTAGCCGCCATCCCGACAGACACGCGCCCGCTCTGCTGCGTTGCGTGCAAACCGCACGCCGAGCGCCTCAGCGTGCGGGAAGAGCGCCGGTGCAATGTAGTGGTAGACGCGCGCCGATGCAAAATTGTCGGATGGGAAATGCAGGTTGGCTTTAATGCGGTGGTCGGCCACATCATTTGCCATACGCACGAGGCTCTCGACGACGTGTGGCGCGCCGGCGAGCCAATCGATCCCGCGATGCACCGCGAAGAGGTCCTCTATGATGGAGCCGGCGAGGCAGTAGGCTTGCAGCGCGTGGCCCGATGGGAGAGACGGCGTCCACGCACTCTGCGAGTCCGTCGTCGCGAAGGCGAGCGGTGAGTCAAGGAGCGTCTCGACCACCCATGGCCGCGTCCGCTGAAATGCATCCTTGAGGCGAGACACGATGCTCGTGCACGTGTCAAATGTGTCGTACGTGTATGGCGCCTGGAACCAGAAGTTCCAGTCCGGAAGCGAGGCATTGCCCAGCGTGCGACCAATCTGATCTAGAGGCCCGCCGAGGTGAAACGCTCCCTCGATGGTGCTGGCTGTGAACTCGTCTGCGTGCATGTGGAGCGCAAGGTGGGTCACGTTTGGCCAGGTGCTGCTATAGAACACAGGTTCGTCCCGAAACGGCTGCATCTGCAGTATTGTCTCCAACTCCGCCACGTATAGCGTACGTGCTTCCGCAGAATCACGCGGTGGCAGGAGAGGTGCAATCAGTCGATACATCTCGAGCATCGACGCGTCAAACTGTGCCTCCTTGCCTTGAAATAGTCGACGAACCGCTGAAGGCCGGCCGCCGAGTCTTGCTTGGTGCTTGGTCTCCAAGCCTTTCATGCTGTCCCAATGCGTGGGCAGCTTGGCACCTCCGCCACTCGCAAACCTCCCCCATAACGGCCACGTCTGCGATGCCGGATTGGCCGGTGTGCAATCTGGTGCGTCCAGCAGAGGCGGCTGCATAACATAGCGTGTGAGGTTCGCGAGACCGATCACTTCTGCGATCGCTGCCATGGGCGTGGTGGCGCGGTGTGTGGTCGACGAAGACAATGTTCCTAGGGAAACGAGACACGGATGTGCGACTTGAGCGCATGT